GAAGTCTCCCCAAGAGGGTGCAACCTATAGACAATCCACGTACAGCAAAAGTTTTGTTATCCAGCACCCATGGGGAATGGGGGGGTGCTGGATAACAAAATGTCAGTTAAATGAGAAGCCCAAACAGATGTCTTTGCCTTTACAGACCGCCGCCCCTCCCACGGGCCCTGAGAGACAGGGAGGTGGGCCCCTCACAGGCTGCTTTGCCCTGGGTTGTGGGGGCCCAGGCAAAAACAGAAGTGCCATGGTGGGCACTTCTGGTTTCACTTTTACCTTAATAGATCATGCTGGTTAATAGAGCATGCTGGTTGGTAAGGTGCCAGTTAAGGCAGCTTTTACTGTAGTTAATAGTGTTTTAGATTGCAGTTGGTGTTTCCCTTTGTTTTCCTTGCCTTTATTTTCTGTAAAAACAAAAAAAACCCAAAACAAATCTGTCCCTTGTGTTTACACTGCCTGCAAGGAAAGGCTATTGTTTATGTGGGACATGCCAGACAACTTCAATGATCCCAGATTTCTGGGTGGGAGATTGAACCACAGTAAAAACTTATTGGGTACTCCAAAATTTGAACCTGGCCCTTGTTGCTGCCAACCAGTGACCAACAGAAGAGTTACAATGGTTATTTGCATTAAACCCTAATTTCTAGCTGATCTAGAACATATATTTCTTTAGAAAATAATCTGCCTTTCATGTAACATCAAATAACTGACTCTCCATCACAGGCACATTACTTTACACATTACTTAAAAATTTGCATCTTATTTCTGGCCTGAATGTGTGAATGTCAAACTATTGGATTATGTTTTGCCTTTGTTTGTTAAAGTCAAGACCTGTCTAGTAACAAAGAACTCTTCTCTATATAAGTACACATCAGATAGATCATGTTGATCCTGATCAAGTCACCTCTTAAACTGGTTTTCTCTTGGATAAAATATATAGATTATCTTTAGCCTCTCACTAGATGGTAGATTTTCTAGAACATGAGCCATTCTAAGAATGTTTTTGAACTCTTTCCAACTGTTTCACATCCCTTTGTAAGTACAGACACTAAAACTGGACTCAATGTTCCAGTCATGGCTTGACTAACGCTATATACATGGGTAACATCACCTGTTTACTCTTACTTAAATATTCCCAGAAAGTCATTGCCTTTCCTATGTTATTTTAAAATGAATTATAATTAATTGTAAATATACAGCAAATAAACAACGGTCCAGCTTATAGGCTTCTGGAGAAATCAAATTTGCATTACATTCACCCAAACATATTTTAGTCATTCCCATTTTCTGCTGTACCTTACATGCCTAAGGCTGCTTAAGTCACTTCTGCCATCAAGATACCCATAACAAAGAAAAAATTCAGTTCCTTCCTTTGCCTATTTTGGTGATGACAACGTTGCCTCCTATCCCTCACAATTCATATATTATCCCTTGTATTTCAATGCATATTTCCAAATCAATGAATTTACAGATATTTTCCAAATAACAGAAATTCTACACGTCAGAAATTCACCCTTGTGTAGAGGACCAATGTAAAGCTTATGTGCCAAGTGGGTGCTACTGAAGCCATTGCCTTGGATTTTGATGGTACATAAACATGGTTCTTAGCTTCTATGCAGGCATGACATTCATCCTCATAGAAGCATAGGTACATAGGAGTGGAAGGGACTTTGAGTCATCAAGTCCAGTCCCTTTCTATTGCATATAGCCATGTCATATAATCACTTTCATAGACTGATCAGAGTTCATCTGCAAAGTAATTAGACTCCTCTCTTCTCCCCCAATATTATTCCTATTTGGACTCCAGAACCTTACTTCTCTGATTATTAGAAACATTCATCTGAATTTAGACTAAATAAATTCAGTTCCAGATGATGCCCTTTGTTCTTGTGACAACATCGTCTTTTAGATTAAATAACTCTTCTTTCTCTCTGCTGTCTTGAGAGGGAGTCATTATAATCTCTCCCTGCCTTCATTTTTCTAGGCAAAACAAACCAAATTATTTTAATCTACTCTGGTAAAATAGGCTAATCAAATAATCAAAAGAAAAGAAGAACCTTTCTCTGCACCTGTTGTTCAAATGGAATTAATCTTTTTTGAAACTGGTGACCAGAAATATAAACAGGACTCCAGGTGAGATCTTAATGGCACCTTACACAAAGATATTAAAATTTGAAGTACATTTACTTGGAATACTTTACCTGATATAATCCTAGGATGCATTTTTCCCTTGATCCTAGGATCTATTTCTACATCTACGGGGCTAAAGGGTCTGGGGGCACAGGTGGTGTTCTCGTTGATCCTCCCAGTCTCAGGCTATGGGCCGAGGAGGGAGAGGAGGATCCACGTGGTCAACCAAAGACTGCGGCGCTGGTGTCATCGGGAAGGCTTTGGCTTTCATGACCACAGCCCACTCTTTGGCGAGAGAGGCAGTGAGCTGCTGGGAAGAGATGGCCTCCACCTCTCTCCCCTAGGGAGGAGGCTCTTCTCAGCCAGACTGGCTGACCTGCTCCACCGGGCTTTAAACTAAGCCCGCTGGGGGACGGGGGCACTACCACCACTGCTGGCCCACTGAGCAATCCTTGCAAAGCCAGCAGGTCAAGGCACTTAAGGGAGCCCAGCCCTGGTAAAATCTGTGGGCAAGGAAGGAGCCCCCCAGGGGGCACTTGCTTGCCTGTACACAAATGCCAGGAGCTTGGGGAATAAGCAGGAGGAACTCATCCTCCTGCTCAAT